CACTCAAAGGTCGTCTATAAACTATAGTCTCATGTATTTCTGTACTTGTTAGCTAGATATACCTGTATCTTCGTATTGATATTCATAATGGGCTTCTGACCCAGTATCCGAAGCCCTACATTTTCGAACAATGTCCGATTAACCCTACGCTTATGATAACCACTAACATGTAACAGGGTTTGATAATTATTATTCATCTGTGGACTGATATTTTGTGCTCACAAAATCTCGGCTCATGATAAACATAAGCAAATTGTGAGATTTAGGTGGAGTTTTGTTCTATGAGTTAGATAGTTTGGTCGTGGAACATTCATTGGTCTTCTGAACAACATTATGAGCACAAACTACAGGTAGGAATGAAAGGTCCGAATTCCTTCATATATGACTCAAAGCTTATCCTGTGAACCTTGATCTTGATTGGTTACTGTCAACAATGAATGAAAAATGAAAGCTCTACGAAGAAATGATCCAGATTAGTGGACAAAATTCCACCTCAATCATCCACCCTTAGTTACAAATCTTCTGCACCATCTAAAAGTCGTGAGGTTGGAAACAGAAGTGTCATTCTATGATTTGGTGCAATTATTATGAATGCCCAAAACCCCTAACTGACCTAGATATTTGGAGAAAAAAACTTAGGACTGAGCAGGAAAATTTTTTGCCAAGTACTTAATATATATGTCCACGACTCATCCTTGTAGGTAGTGGGCTCGAATACCCGCAACAAGAATGTATTGTATCAAACCTATAACGTTGATTAGGACGATTATTGTATGAATTTGACTGTAGGCTGACGAATAATTCGCTTGCAGTTGTCCGTCAACCTTAGTATCTTATATGTTGCGTGATCTTGAGATATAATTTTATTTATCTGTTTTCTTTGAATAACGAGTTGAGGCAAGCTACGATAATTTCTGAATACGGCTGTTCTGTCAGGTGCATAGGTAGGAAATGAAAAACAGTGATGTAATTATAGCAATACTTGATATTTATACATAGTTTATAACTCATGCTGCATTGTGGTGTATGCTAATTATGTTGACGGATATAAGTAGTATTTAGCACCAATCATTAATGAAATGCTTGCCAACAGAAGGTTGAATTGACAAGAACAGTAAAGAAAACAAAGAACATTGAAATAAAAACAGAATTGAAACATGTAAACGACAACTGAAGGAAGATATGAAAATAATGTACTTAATGCACGGTTTTTATATTTTACCATGGTATTGTGTAATTTTGCATTAAACAATGAAATGGCTTGCCCCACTTAAGTTTTCGTTTACTATAGCATAACCTTAATTTCTGCTCAGATCTAAATCACTATTCTATGAGTTGACAGCATAGATTACAAATAGGTCTGCTTATAAATGCATTTCGCCAGTAAAGGATGTTTCCATATATCTTGTTCTATGACCAAATAGTTGCTTGTTTTGATACACTATTTGGTCAAGGTATTAAAGGTGGTGTTCGGAATTAAGCAGAGAGTATGATAGCACTTCAAAAGTTATTTATTAAGATACAAAAATTTGTTTAGTTATTCCCTAATTTATTCACACTTATGTCATGAAATGAAGACATTTAAGAAAATATGTGGAACGGATAGATGTTTGTTCCTAGTGAGGTACTCATCGGCAGTGGACAACTGCGATGCAACATGGAATTGAATCGAGGGCCTACAGGTTTGTGCTAAGCATGATGCTTCAAAATCAATTAGACAATATTCAGTCATCGAATATCACTCGATATTATGGAGGGATCATCTAACTTCCTCACTGCTAGTGTAATACTTTTCTTAGACCACGACGTCGCTAAGTTTCTGGAACGGAGGTCTCTAAGGATGCTGGTCCAGTCTTAGCGGTCAGATTGAATAATATTTTTAGCTCAAATCTGGGAACTGAATGCAATTCCATCTGACCGGTGGCAATCACTGATCATCCCAATAAAGGGGTCAAAATCATCCTATGGTAACCATAGAGAGATTTGTTTAACTAATATAACATCTAAAATATTATCTTCAATAATTGTCGGGTGTCTAACAAAGACTCGTGAACTGCAAACACGAGAAAATAAGGCTGGCTTCAGACCTGATCGTGGCTGCATCGACCACATATTCACCATTCGTCAGATGACGATAGTTTTCCTTGACTTAAAAGCATCGTTCGACTCTGTAGACCGAGAAGTTCTGTGGTAGTATCTGTCGCTGAAAGACATACCTCAGAAAAACATAAACCTTTTGAGGGTTTTTTACTCGAACACTACCAGTTGTGTCAGAGCTTATGGCGAACTGCGATTTGGTTTCGCAACCTCAAGTGGTATGGCAAGGCTACCCACTATCTCCATTGTCGGTCAATTTCATTATAAACCTACTGCTGCTAATAATGTTCTCGTCGTTTGGATTTTCAGGAATTGAACTCCTAGGAGAAGGTCCACTCATCGATTTAGAATACGCAGATGAGATAGTCCTATTTGGTGAAGACGCTGATAAAATGCTGTTTTGGTAGCACTGAACAATAATGCCAGGATGATTGGGATGCGTTTCTTCCTCTCTAAATGCAAGTCGTTGCTTCACGACTGGCATGTGTCAACACCAGGAATAAGGATAGGTAGTGAAGTAGTCGAACGCGTCGGCAACCTCACTTATCTTGAAAGTCTGATCAACCATAATAGATTGGTGTCTGACAAAATCTCTGCATGGATTTTGTCAACTTACGTCTCTTATGTCGAAGGCGAGATATTCGTCTACCAAATAAAAATAAGTTTGTTCTGTTCTAGTTTACGACTGAAAACGTGCCCACCAAGGGTAGACGATATTCGTAAGTTAGCAGTATTTGACCACAGATGTTTAAGAATAATTGCCAACATCTGCTGAGATCACCGGGTAAGTAATAATGAAGTCATATGCAGGGTATTAGGGAATGATAGCAAATCAATTGGTGAGGTTGTGAATATTCATCGACTGAGATGGCAGGACCACATATTACGTATGCCCGGACACAGTTTCCCATGACGCGCAATCCTGACTAGTGTTGGGAATGGTTGGAAGTTAGGAGTGGCCAAACCAAAACGTGACTTTCAGTCTGAGCCATATTGGTAGATAAAGACTACTTGGTTGGGGTCCGCGTGACTATTGTAACCAATGGTCGGTAACTCTGGGTGACATGGCTCAGAATCGACCACAATGTCGTAGATGTATACACACTCTGTCTTCCCTTAAACTACGAGATTAAAATCGCTTCATATCTTTCTTTATACGAACTAAATCTTTCTTCCTGTACTATATCCTTATAGAAAATCTTTCCTTTATATACAATAATACCATTGAAGTAACTACTTCTATCAATTCGTTGTTCATCTTGTTGTACAAGTGGAATCGCTTAATTTCTCACGGTATATCATGTTTAATATAGTGTGTCCATCAAGAAGGAGAATAACTTGACGACTATGGCATTTAAAATCAATATAGGTCATGAGCTTTTAACAAACGTATGTGTGTACATTTGACGATTTACATAAATAATTACTTCGTGAAAACAAATCTAAAGAGAAAGATTTCCTGTAGGGTTTTGAATAAGGCTGCCTAGTAACATACACCAAATCTCAATATTATTAACCTCGTAATCCAACTATTCAACAATAATCCTATAAAAATAAATGAAACCGAATTTTAAAATTATACCCCCAATATCTGTTTTCATAAATGTAAAAGGAAACACAGATAAAAATACTGAGTATGCATTCACCTAATGATAGACCATTGGAACATCTCATTTGTACCACAAATAGACTATGGGAGCAATTAAACTCAAATAAGGGTTTGTATTTATGTTGAAATCTTATTAGCTACTATCCTAACAGACCTGATGGAATTTTAAGGATAAATGAGGTGATTGAAAAACACACGCACATACAACTAATCCATTTGCAATACATCGAGAAAGTTATTACATTAACAACTGTCAAGATTGCACACTAAAATTCACTAAAAAGAAAGTAATGACCACATTCATTGAACAAAAAAAGAACAGAAAACAACTAACATATTTGTGTGCAACTGTAATTTCTGGTTTACTTTTAAAATTATGATCATCATTATTAGCATTAGAATTATATAAAGCCAGATGAAACAAAAGATACATAGTTAGTTAGCTAGTTAGAATTAAATTTATTATCATTGTGGCTGTAGTTGTCATCATTGTTAGAGCTTCAATCTCTTTATTACTTTTAATAGAAAAAACAAACGAGAATTGGCGATGACGACAACAATAACAATAACCAACAGACTTCAGTCGAGAGAACAATATCAAGTTTGTATGCATAATGTGTGGGAAAGGGTGAGAAAGGTCTGGGCTGATTGATAGTAGTAGTCATCATGGTGTACACGCAAAATACATTTTACATGCAATTTTGTTACCTTAAAAAATAACTTTAAGGCAACGAGAAAAAAAGTGAAGAGAATGAATGAGCAGGAATTAAAATTTCATCAGAAGTAGCAATATGAAGCAATTGCTATGCGGGAGAGATCGATTCACATAATATGAAACAAACGAGGAGTACAACATAGAACAACAACAACAAAAACACCAACAAGAACAACGTAATTGCTGCTTGAACTGACTTTAAACAAAGAAAAAAACAAAATATATATATAAACAAACAAGCGAATAGTGTTTGTTTTTCAGATAGAAAATAAATGTTATTACAATTTGAAAAATAAACAGAGAGAAACAAGTGTATAGAGAAAGAAAGAATGCAACGTAAATAGAGTAAGCAAAACTGTAGAAGAAACTATGGAACAGTGATTTCTTTCCAAGAAAAAAAGAAAAAACAATAATAATAAACTAACATTATAATGACCATGAAAAAGAGTGAATCAATTGCATTTCCCTAAATAAGTCACAGCTCATCATCACATGAAATAGTTTTCTCCTTCTTCTTCTTCTTCTCCATCTATAAACTTACTAAATTCATACAATTAGAAGAATACGCACGCATAAACATTAGGTAGTTGTAAAATCTGTAGTAAAAAGAGAAGCGAAGAAATTAAAAGCAGTTATTCAAAATAAAGCTTATCAGTAAATACACACAGAGAGACAAAACATATCATTGACAAAGGGTTATTATCATCAAGTCATACTCACTAATTACAATCTGATTTATGATGGTTTAATGAAGATTATCTGATGAAGGTTCTTATGATAAATACGACCTGTGGTTGAAGACATTGAACGATATGAATCAAAATCGGTCACAATAGACCAGATATATACATTATCTCCCTCTAGATATTGTATTGCAGTTTTTTTTAACATACACCTTATCATTCTAACTTCGTGGACTATATTCTAAATATGTAATGCTTTTCACAACCATTGATACTTACAGTAGTTCCACTTTTTTGCTATTCATCTTAGTATTTTCTTCATGTTGTGTTGATGTGATATGGTCACTCGGAAAAAAGCATATTTTCGACATGCTCTACATTGATTACGACTGATTAACTATGGATACAAAAGTCTAGTGATGGTTTGTTCATCAATACATTCGCTTAACAATCGTTAGGTTATTCCGCTCTACTGCGGTTAGAGGCAAGCGGCTGGTAGCATCTTATAAAACGGTATAACTCACAGTTGAGTACATAAACTTTTTAATTCGTACATCGGGTAAAATTATATACCGTTATCCTTAATGTTGTTTATTATTATTAGTTTTATTTGAACACATAAATATCGGTACAAGGGGGCACCAAATACATATGGGCTACACAATAACAATGAGGCCAGTAGAAGTTATCATTGATTTGTATAATAGCTGTGATACTGTCATGGTGCCCAAACTGAACCAGGTAGTTTTCTTATAGGACCACACCCCGAACTTTCGACCTAATGGTTTGATCCACAAGGCAGTGGAGCAACGTCAGCAGATGCAGTCCCATGGTAGTCGGTGACCAACAATAGGCTCATACATACACCATTTGTTCCCTCGGGACCCTAAAGCCCATGCGCATCGTTGGTTTGAAATGAGGGTTTTCCAACTCCTCTAAGTAAATCCTCCACATCCAATAACTCGATTTGCGTAATGACCATTCGCTTTTCGTCCTTTCAATTTCGTAAACAACAACCTGGCCACGAGAAGGCAGTGATTAGGACAGTGGTTATATATACATGGCCATGTGAAAACATTTTGGGAGAGAGCGCGAACTTTTCCCACTCTCGGAGGTACCAGGGTATTTGGGGATAATAATAAGTTTGTTATCATTATTTCAACAACACCAACAACGAAAACATTCATTCAATTCAGTAAACGATTGTTTATATAATTTAGTTGACTTTTAATTATTACTGATCCATTTAAAAGTTTGATACACTAATATTAATTTAAATGATTAATTGAATATTTACGTTAACTAGTAAATGAACAGTAGTAGCCAATATCAAAATTGTTAAATAGCTGATATAGATTAAATTCTATGGGTAATAATTACAATAAGACTTAGTTTAAATATAATAAAGTATTGTTATAATCTAATTGATTAATGTATTAAACTTCCAAATATTAAATGATAGATTTAAACCCTGTTTAGTAATAGCTCCATTTTGATAACCGGATACTACATAACTAATATATAGAAGGACTCGAACTTGAGTACACATAATTATGTATTTCTTAAATTTAACAAGACGATACATTTTAATTTTGATTCAAGGTAGTTGAAAGAAATCATTAAGAAAACCTATAATTTGAAGTTATGTTAGTTGATATCAAAAAGCATCCATTATTATATAATCAATCCGCACGAAGGATTCGAACCCAGAACCCTCGGTCTCGCGCGCAAACGCCTAAACTCTAAACCACTGAGCCGGCATCCGACGGTGTTAATGTTTAACTTTAACTAATTCATGATATTGCATGTCCTTCAACCATTGTCTTCAGTCAGTAACGGATGAACTCTACTACTGGTCACAGCTTTATATTAGAACTCCGGAAAATCCATCTTGAAACCAGTCACTAGTGAGCACATGATAATTATCAGTATAGGGTTATAGAATAAGTAAGCAAATATGAAACAGAAAATACTCAACAATACACAAATAAGAATACAGACTACCTACTTACAGTTCAAGCTTTGTTGTGCAAAAAATCGAACATCCTGATCAAAATCATAATCTATGACTTTTTTTAAAACCGGTATCACATCATTTTGAATAGTCCTACATCACAAAGAATGGTGAGAAAGAAAAAAGGAGAAAATACACACATAATGAGTACATTGATTAACCATTGATAAGTGACTGATTATAATACACTAATCATACAGTCGATACATTTTGAAATCATCCAAAAAAGAAGAACGCTTTACATTCAAACTGTTAAAAATATTAAGGAAACACAATTTACTGGGATAACAGCGAAACAGGTACACTCTAAAACCAAACATTTTGAACACAGAATAAACAAGTAAAAATGGCATTTTTACATTTTTGTAGTGCAGTTTGAACTAAAACAGATTATTATGTTACACTGGAAATCCTACATATTTAGTCTTATCAGGTAAATGGTTATGCGATGGGCGGTTATAAACCATATTTACAGAGAAAGAGCGAGTGAATTACCCGACAGTACGAGTTAAATTCAATAGTGAGAGAGAGACAGAGCATTCATGTGTTAAGAAATGATACTTCAATAAAGAAAAAATTATTGTGCATTTAGTATTTAAATAATCCTGAAAGACAGTAATCAAATGAGATAGGAATTCGATTACAAGTGAGATCTTAAGATCGATATCACGATTTACTAGACACATGAAAATGGTAACTTAAAGTAACAACAAATCTAATGTTTTGGGAATAATACCCTCAAAAGATATGAGATAGTATGGCAATTAAAAAACTCACTTTTTATCCAGAGAACCGGAGATTACGTGGAGGGCTTGTGTTGCACAAATCCGTACATTTGGCACTACATCCTCCGACAGGAAACGTAATAACTGAGCTACACACCCGGTCAAATAAACATTTGGTATTTGTGGTGGTGCTTGGCAACCTTTAGGAACTGTTGTAACATTCAAATTATCTGAATTTGTGAGGTTCTTCGATGTTTTTGATGACAAATAAGCATAGATGTTACGGGAAGCAGGAAAAAGAATTCCTGCGCTAGGATCATCACCTAGGGCACTGTAAGGAGGTTCATCCAAGATACCAGGGCCCCAAACAGCCTATAAATGTATCGAGAAAAAGATAATTCCGTTTGTAATTTAGATGAGAAAACCAGTTATTCGGGAAAAGTGCTTAAAAAGTTTAATGATGAATGGAAACTTAGAATTTAGGAAATGATACTATTACATAATTGACAGTTATAAACTTAGATCAAATTTCACACGATTAGGAACTGCTGGTATTTAGGTTTACCGTGTACATGTTTATTATGAAGGTGGATAATTTTTATGGTGAAGTACGTATCGAATTTATTAAAATGATAGGAGAAACATAAAGTGATAGATGACATAGAATATAAATTTGTCAATTAATAAGTATTTAGAACATCAAATAATCGATATAAGCTCTTATATTAACTGTATTCAAAAGATAACTATCAACCGAATGGATTTTCACTCTAGTGAAATAACCTTTATATGTAATAAATTATGAGGTATAATATTAGACATGATTCCACGCAAATTAACAAGTAAACGAATAAAAAGATAATAATTTTCTAAAGTAACTCAAACACCAATGAAATCAGGACCTGACAAATCAGCTTAATTGTTGTCAGTGAACAACAAAGAATTCTACACCACCTAATAAGGGGCAACAGATAACTAAACAGATAAAGTATATTTATTTGATCATTTCCTGGATTATATTTTGATCTACTCTGGTACTAGACATTATTTATTTATTTATAAGCAATGGTACAAAGTGGCACCGAATGCATATGCGCCACACAAGTTACTTGATTTGTGTGTGGGCTGTGCCCAATCCGAAGCAGGGGGTTTTCTTAGAGGGCCACCACAGCCCAAACCTGGTAGTGGCTGTATACGCGTGACCGTGTGAGATTATTTCGAGAGGGAGAGTTGACTCTCCCCACCCTCGGCCGTAACAAGGCATTCGGGGGCCCAGTCACTATAACATTTTAAAATGGGCGATTAGTATTGTTTAAATTTTTAAAAGTCTACACAATTATTTAAAAATTTACCATTTCTAATCAAGACTTTAAAATTAACATGGAGACCGGTTATTTAGTGATTAAATCCTAACCTCAGTATATTTTTTTAATCATGACAAAAAACGGTTCACAATGAACTGTTACACACTTATACTCGTTTTTTTTGGTTGGTAAAACGTCGTTTTCTTCCCCGCAAAAGTAGATGAACTTAAATAGATGTTAGAAAATTCTATTTTATCAGAAGGGGTTTTGTGGAGATTTTAGAAATTTCACTGACTGAAATCATGAGTCAATTGAAGCATGACCACCATGGAAAACCTGAAAGCACTGGACAGCCGTTTCGTCCTAGTGTGGGACTCCTCAGCAGTGCGCATCCACGACCTCGCACCCCGCGAGATTCGAACCCAGGACCTATCGGTCTCGCGCCATGCGCTTAACCGACTGGACTACTGTAATTTTTTAATCAATCTTAAATTGTTTTTTTCTCACTTTCTCTCTCTCATAGATTATATAATCTTCATTGCATTTATTTCTTCACAATTTAATTGGTTCAACTTTATATGAAGTATACTTTTAATGCTTTATTAAACCTAAAATTTTGAGGTACTATATATGTATGTAAATGAATCTTATTCAATGTATACAATTGAAAATTAAACTACAGATTTAAACATGTTCATAACATGACGATGACACTGTAAAAAACTATATATATAAACATATATTTGGGAACAGTTCGGTAAATCTTACTTGTACTACGTTAATGTATATTTGACGAAGATGATAATTTGTATCTACGGCAAGAGCTTTAAGGCCACCTGCAGCAGCTTGTGTAGTTAAAGCATTGGCTGGATTAACAGCAGAAGTATTTGATGTAGTTGAAAGACTGGAAGTATTTGCTTGATCTAACACTTGAGCATTTGTTGAACTAGGAAGATTACCAGTGGAAGTATTTGATGCATTTGTTCCACTAGTTGGATTAGTTACATTAGACGAAGCACTGTTTGGATTAGAAGTTATACTACCTGAACCAGAGTTTGTAGTCGCTTTAGATCCTACTCCACTGAATGCTTTTTTGCAAGCTCCCGGACATGCTACTAATAAACGAGCAAGACTACGACAAGCACATTCACGAACGCACCACGCCGGATCTCGTAACCATGCAAGATTTGCAGGTAGAACAGTTTCCTGTAAACAATTTTCCGGCTGAAATATAAATAATAGAAATGGATAAAAAGTTAGTCGGAAGAAATCCAACTAAATGAAAATAGTACACAGTTGAACTTATCTAATCACTGAATTTTTATAACATTACTGCATCACGAGACAAGTGCCAACATGGAATCTTGAAATTAAAACGAAAAGAGGAAGACCAAGGGACATATTGCATCGGGATTGGAAGCAGACATTACAAGAATGAATAGCAACTGGGAAGGATTGCTCAGAACAAAGTTCGATGGAGAACGTTGGTGGGTGGCCTGTGCTCCTCCACAACGGGGTAACAAGTGTAAGTAGTAATTACTGTCTTGCTTTTTGATGGGGTTTTGTTCCCTGAGCTGGATGGTTTGGTCGTGGAGCTTCCATCGTTCTTCCGAACGACATCATCAGCACAAACGTCAGGCAGAAGTGAAGTGTTCGAATTTCTACACACTTCACTTCTGCCTGAAGTTTTTGCTGATGACGTCGTTCGGAAGAACAATGGAAGCTCCACGACCAAACCATCCAGCTCAGGGAACAAAACCCTACCAAAATCATCCACCTGAGCTACAAATCTTCACCATCCCACTGTCTTGCTTTAATAAAAATAGAGGATCAAGTAGGATGAATAATCTACCAAATACGAATCAATGTGTTTGACTACATTTTTCACGATGTATGTATGAATAAAATGAGGAACATTTTGAAATTCTAAGATAAATTTGGATTATAATCAATGAAACTACAAGAAAGTAGTAAGTAAATGAAAAAAAATCACAATATAATGATGGTAATACCATTGACCAGTAATCTAATAGAGATTAGGTCGCCACAATCATACAAAACCTACAAAATGGAACTACTCGTTCGCTCCCCATTAATAACTCTATAGTTAAGTATACAACAATATACAATAAAAAGGAAACTAAGAAAATTTATTTTTGTAACTTTGAATGACGATGATATAATGTAGGATATCATTTGTCAGAAGTTTTGGTACATAGGCAAGGATAATTCTAACGACAATTTTGATACTGTCTACAATAACTCAATTCGGTTCTAACACTATTATCTACTAAAGAATGGGTATTTCAGAGCGTCAGATTCTAATTTACTCGAGTGTGTGTGTTTAAGATTCTTAAGAATATTATGGAGACTCTTTTAAAACAACGAGCTGATTCAAATGACAAGGAATATCTGATGCAAAAACACAAATTATCCACACAAAAAAGAACAAATCTTACCAACTTATCATATAAACAAGGTACTGATTGAACAACACCAAGACGAACACGCCAATTTTTATCTTGCCAAAGACGAAGTAGACTTGGTAATAAGGTCAGTTGAATCTCGTTAGCAGGCATTAAAGCTACTAATTCAGAAAAATGCTCGAATACATATTGTTTGGACTAAAAAAATAAATAGATTAAAGATGATACAACCGTTAAATGGATAAAATATTTTAACGGCATCAAACATTAAATTTAACCATAGGAATACTGAACAGTTTCAGTAGTGTCGCAAATTTAGGATGCCTAAGCTATTATTAATAAACATATGACGAGTAGTGACTGAACGTCAAAGGATTTCACGAAGTCGCCGGAAACTCAGTCATATGGTGTAAGACAGGTATTATGGATAACAATGGATGGTAAATTAGTGATCAAAAAGTATCGAGCTAGCCAAGAGAATTGAAGTCCTCAGGTTTGATTACTGAAAGGGTCATAAATGCGCAAAGGCTGAGGAGTTCCATACTAGAATATAACTAGCTTCTTGAAGTCTGTACACAAGCTGTACTTAAACTATGGGCTAAATGAAATTTAAGTATCAATTTTAGATCGAAATAATTTGCCTAAAACGGAATATTACTGTCTGTAGGACAGTGACGTAGTTAACTCCTATCACAACAGTAAATATTGTCACAGGTATTAAAGAAATATACTCAACCAGATAAAAAGCATTCAGAAAATACATCATGAATTGGTAAAGAAGCATCGCCACGAATCTTATACGATTTGATGATAGACTAGTTTGAACACCATAAAGTTTTTAATCACTTCTGTCAAGGCAACTTTATATGTCCAACTGATGAAATAAGGCTATTCGAAAAAAGAAATGGACATATTAACACCAATCATAAGGTCAACTGGTTGAGAAATCATCCTAGTTAACGTTTTTATAAACTAACGTGGAAGATGTAGGACTGAATGCTTCTCAAATCTAATACCCTAATAAAGTTTAAAAAACTTTAATTTATATAGAAGTCACTACTCTGTTTGCTATGACACACAAATAACCCGGTAAGGCCGAGGGTAGAGAGAGCCAGCTTCCCCTCTTGAAATGCTCTCAAATGGCCACGCGTAAACAGCCACTCCAAGGGAAGTCCTACTCACTGCCTTCACGTACCCAGGGCGTTATTTACAAAATCGAGAGAACGAAAAGCAAATGTCCGGCGCTTTAACCGGGTTGTCGGATATGGAGGATCCACCTAGGGGAGTTGGAAAACCCTCATTCCAAACCAACGGTGTACATGGGCTCCAGGATCCCGAGGGAACAAATGGTGTATGTATGAGCCTATTGTTGGTCACCGACTACTATGGGATTGCATCTCCTGACATTGCTCCACTGCCTTGTGGGTCAAACCATTAGGTCGAAAGTTCGGGGTGTGGCCCTCTAAGAAAACTACCTGATTGGGTCTGTACACCCGGGTAGTATCATAGCCATCACACAAATCAAGTGACTTATTTGGTGCCCCCTTGTACCAATATTTATGTGTTCAAATAAATACATAAAATGATACGAAAAATGGTTTCCTTGTCCTCAAGAACTGGATTTGCAAACATCCTTAGAGTGGAAATTTATTAAAATATGCTTAGATTAAAAAAAATACTAACAACAGTTTCTCACTAACCTGTGAACTTGTATCATTTAAAAATGCTAAAATATGCTGTACTAAAGGTAAACAATCTTCTCGACGAATAGATGGTAACAAACCAACAGCACATCGAACCAATTCAGAACGTACTCGTTCTTCACGTTCCATGGATAAATGTTCACGTAAACGCGGTAGCAAAATGGTAACAAGAATATCTTTGGGGCTTGCAAGGCAGAAATCTATGAGAAAATGGTGAAGATGAAATCATTTGAACCATTGTAATATTTAGAGTAAGTTAACTTAAGACGATACATAGTTTGTCCAATAAATTTTGGATTGAAGGCATACATGCTTTATTTCAAAAATAGCGACATATCATTATTAAACTCTTCAAAATACCTCCCCCATTTTGTGACAATATACTTTCATCATCTCTGTATCCATTGTTTGTAATATCTTTGAAAGTCCTCAGGCGTCAGTTTCTTGAGTGGAATCGTTGTTTAGCGTTTTCTCCTCAACCAAAAATGTTGTACTGGATTAGTATACACAGATTGATTTCTCACGTTTACTTTATCAGCAATCATAAGGACAAACTGAGTGAAGGATCGAGAAGCACAAAATGTGACAGACCATTTTAATCATAAATTTCCTAAATTCTGGTTCGTATATTTATTAGATAGATGAATATTGTTTTAGTGTTGTACAGACATAAAATAGATTGGATTGCATCTTTTTGACTTACTACAGAGTGCAAAACTGATTATAAAACGTTAAACGATTATCATTAGAAATGTTAAATTGAGTCTAGCAATTCCAGAAACAACATCTAATAGAAAACATCCATGTTGTCACGTATCAGTTACACATTAATATTTAAAGCTTAATGCAAGAAAGAATGAAAAAGATTCCAGTTGTTTTTGCAAAAACGATTTCCCAGAGAGAGAGAATCTTTTGAACTATCACAAAAGATAAACAAATTACTAAGTTAGTTTAAGAAAACATTAAGATATCTCTTCAATTTTATAGCTGATTTTGTCGACGCAATGTGTAAAGTCAACAAAACTAATGAACAATCCAATGATGTTAAATTACTGAATCGGTTGTTACTTAAATGATTGATGTTCGTTAGTTGAAAACAAACGATAATAAGCCTTGACCATTTTTATAATCCGCTTTACTTGGGATTCATTATCAAAGACAATGTGTATCTACACAGACTGCAGAGGAAAGATGCTGTTTAAGGGGTTTGAACAGTCGTCAAGCTGTGTTAAAATAGAATCTGAATAATTTTTAGAAAGTATGAATTAAATATTTTAAAACTACTGATCGTATTTAGGGCAAAACATTGATTGAAATCCTGAGAACTAATACAACTAAAGTAATATTAGTCTCTATGCATACATTGTTTTTTCATCAAGGCAGAATTTATCTGTTTCCATTAGTTATACTTTGTTCTAACATCTATGTTTTGATGCAGGTATCGTTTACATTACAAAAATACTTTGGGAACAATTGGAAGTCACTTATTAACAACATAAGGTCTAGCACAAGTAAACATCCATTCAAGTTCATACAATTCATATCAAGAAATTAACAAGACGAAAAATTAAAGCAGTTAAAATAACGGTGTCAATGATGATGAATAGCTAAACAGAAATCTGATGTATAAGTTGAAGAATAAAGAGAGATGCAAAAAAACATACCTTTCAGTTGACCAGCACTGATTCTACGCGTTTCTACTTCATTATCTTCTAGAAGATTTAACATAGTCTGATGCAATGATCGATTGGCTCCGCCATGATTACAAACTAAAGTTTGAAGATTTGTGATAACTGATGCCATCGCCCGCCTAACATCTCTATAAAACATAAATAATAGTGTTGCATGGAAAAGTTTTTTTTGGAAGTTTCGAAAAATATCATAATGGAACTGATTACAATGAAGCAATTATCAGTCACTGATTGTATACCTTTCCTTTATTGAAGTATCTGTCTTACGACATTATCATTTCAACATCTATACTAAATTACTGAACTAGAATGTTAAATCCGATAATAAGAAGTAATATCGTATAAAACCTTGTCGTAGCAATAAATCTGATGAAACTCCTTTTTCATTACACAACAGATCTAAAATTTATTTACTCTGAAGAAGTGACTTACACTAAGGCACGGGATAAGAGAAATACAATTTCCTACTTATTGGGATATTGCTATCATTGACTGATTTTAATAGTAAGAACTTTCACAAGCCGAAAACTGGTTCTATCAATTGTTTTAAATAATCAGAAAGAATTATTATTAATCCATATAATGGATGAAGTGTACAGATGAATATGTAGACTAACAATTGGTCCTTAAGTTGAAATCGATAAAAATGGCCAAACATACAGATAATTCACTACCTTAATTAGTCATCAGGATATTTCAACTATTACATTTCTCAGTTTAAAAGATGAATTGATCTTGACTGAATCACCATTAGAGGCCTGTATGCATTGAACGGCCGTTTCATCCTAGTATGGAGAACCCCAGGAACTTTGGTCTTGCATGCGAATCCTTAACCTTCAGATCACTGAGACGGGATAAAAAGGTTTTAATATCTAACTTCTTACTTGGCTTCCTCTTTTCTTAATTATTTTTTATTATCATTATCATAATTACTATGATAACATTTCACTTATTATGTATTATATTCATACAACTTTATCCTTATTACTATCAGTGCAAGTTTAATTAGTCTGGTATTTCTACTACCATTTATTATGTTCACATGATTTATCAAGTTATACTGATTGTAACTCGATCCATAAGAAATTTTCCTACCCCTTCCTTAATTGACCTTTAAATAAATGGTATAAGTTACACATATATAGGCGATAACCAACGCAAAAACTTACTACCGTAATAGATAACATTATTTGATTCACTTACTTATGTATGGCTTATTTTGATCATTGAGGACTTATAACAGTAAAGTATGACAATGATTATGGGAACAAGTACTTGTTCAAATATTCATTGTTTATGATTAACTTAAACTACGAATTTCACACAAACTAATGTCAATAAATAATTGATTACAGCTTCGTGATCTGAATTTCATATTTTTTATGTCAGTCAGTCAGGTACAACGTAGGACCAGGCACATATATGCATCGGTCCAAGTTGCCACAGCTTATTAGCACAACAAGATGAACAACACTGAATTCATAGAAGTAGGTACTTCAATGGTAGCAACATATAAAAGAAAGATTGCATATATGGATATAGTACAGGAAGAATTAGTTGGTAGAAAGATATAAAACAATTTTAATCTCACGGGTTAAGGGAAGACAAATAGTGAGTGTACTTTATCTTGTAAATTTGTAGTTATGTAACCGAGTAATCTGTTTACATGGTCAGGAGTTCAAATTACTTTCATCTTCAGCGCAATGTTGCTTATTGTTAAATAACACATATAGCCTGATGTATCGATCCTTATTAAGTTATTAGATCATCTAAAAATATGCGAAAAAACTCATTACCTGCTAGGATCCCCAGCAAGTTTGTCAATACATGGTCTGATAGTTGAGTCAAACTCTGCTGCATCCGTAATCATCCGTCCCAATTCCACTAACGGTGGTAGACATGCTGCTCGAACAACACGTTGATTATCAGAAACTAAGCTGAAATATACAAAGAAAAGACAATTGCTATTAATAAAATTTGAGAATATTCAAACTTTACAAATTGACAAAAGTATTAACACAAATAGTTTATGAGAAAATAAATATCTTAACACAACGTGAACAACCGACATGTTTTAGTAGTTTCAACAGTGTACAAATTCGTTTTACTCGACACAGAAATAGATAAAATGTAAAACAAAAAAGAGAAACACTGTACTGTTTTGTCTGCTTAAGGAAGTTACAACATATCAATCAATGATTATCGAATTGCATATTTTCCACTGACAGGTCAAATACGTGAAACGATTCATATAACATGGAATAGAAGGCAAATTTAAATAAAATTCACATAGTCAATATGGTATGCAAAGATCACGTGTTTGTTTTCAATATTCAGTCGGGTCTCTTATTTCTATAAATTAAAGAATCAGTAAAATTTACCCGGAATGCGAAAGTATTTACAAAGATACCAATGACTAAGTATGAGACTTCTTACTACTCATAGCTCAGAATACCTACGTCTCAAATATGTTAAGTTTAACTGAAAAAAAAAACTATTTATAACGGTTAACAGTAACTATTCAACTCCAGAAAACCATCGACTATACTTAACAGTTTACTATTATCAATTGTGGGTTTAATGAAATACAATTTATAAACTTAAATGAACATTGAGCTAGATGCAATAGAGACTAATGAAATTCTAATCTTTCTTTAAACTCTTAAACCAGATAGATCGATCGAATCGGTGAATTAAAGTACTTAGTACAAGTACGAAAACATAGGTCGCATTTTCAGATAAACAAATCAAAAAGGTATTCAAACTAAACAGCAAGCGATATATATTCTAATTAAGTTTAATATAATTTTGTGAACCTATTTACATAAAGAAACATTGGAAATGAAACAAGATTTGTGAATTATTTATTTATTTGAACACAAATATTGGTAAAAAGGGCCACCGAATACATATGCGCCACATAAGTCAGTTGACTTCTGTGCGGGCTATGATATTGCCCGGGTGTGCAGACCCGATCAGGTAGTTTTCTTAGAGGGCCACACCCCGAACTTTCGACCTAATGGTTTGACCCACAAGGCAGTGGAGCAATGTCAGGAGATGCAATCCCATAGTAGTCCGTGACCAACAATAGGCTCATACATACACCATTTGTTCCCTCGGGATCCTGGAGCCCATGTACACCGTTGGTTTGGAATGAGGGTTTTCCAACTCCCCTAGGTGGATCCTCCATATCCGACAACCCGGTTAAAGCGCCGGACATTTGCTTTTCGTTCTCTCAATTTCGTAAACAACAGCAATGCCACGAGAAGGCAGTGAAGATATATATACGTATCAAAAGTGATCTTATAACTAGTAAAACATTGAAGGCTAGACAAAGTTCAAAGATTCGCTTGTCATAAAAAATAGATAACAATAACTAGTCGATACCTCATTTTCTTTCAAAAAAAGCTAACTGATGATTTAATTTGATTCTACATCACTTGGTACATCATAATTAACTTAAAAGCGAGTTTAGAATGAATTATTTTAAGAATTGATCAAGTTTCCTAAAAATTTAAGATGAAAAATATTTCACATAGAACATTTACAATTGAAAGTCAGTTAGTCAGTCAGTAACAACATAGAACTTCGTACGTACGTACATCAGTTCAAGTTGCCACACCACCTTAACACAGAGATGAAGTTGTCGATCCAAATCCCGTAGTGGTAGAGGTAGTAAGAGTGTAAGCAGTGATCAGGAAGATTAGGGTTTGGAGATGTTATTTAAAGAGTATAATTCAGTGAAATAAATTTGGAAAGAGGAAAAAAGGGACATGAAGAATTCAGAAGATTCGAATTTGGGAGAACACAAAGAGTGGATGCACTTGCGCCATTGCAAACGATTTTGAGCCATGTCATTCAGGGTCTCTAACCATCGGTTGCTATCATCTCGTGGTCCCCAACCAGATAGTCTACACCTAATAACATGACTCAGTTCACTTGTCAGTGACTTCATGGACTTGTGCCATGTTTTGGTCTGGCCGCCCCTAGCTTTCTTCCAACCTACTCCTATACCACTGAACATCGCACGTCGAGGCAGTCGGTCGTTGGGCATACGTAACACGTGTCCCAGCCATCTCAACTGATGAAGTAGTGAAACTTCATCAGTTGATTTGCCATCCTTACCTAGTACCCGTTTCCTAACAACTGCGTTACTTACTCGATGGTCCCATGATATACGAGCAATGTTTCGAAGACACCTATGATCAAATACTAGTAACCTACGAATATCCTCTACTCTTACCGGCCATGTTTCACTGCCATAAAGCAGGACGGAACGAAGTGCTGTGCAGTAAACACGTCCTTTGGTTGATAGACGGATATCTCGCCTACGCCATAAATGACGCAAGTTGGCAAAAGCTAGTCGAGCCTTCTTTATCCGTGCTGAGATTTCGTCACACACCAGACCACAAGGGCTGATGAGACTTCCAAGATAAGTGAAGCGGTCGACACACTCAACTACTTCACTCCCTATCACTAGTTCGGGTGTCGATGTAACCCAATCCTGGAACAACATTTTGCATTTCGAGGGAGAGAATCGCATTCCGAATATGCTTGCATTGTTGATTAGAGTGGTCAGAAGACTCTGCATTTTGTCAGCGTCTTCACCAAATAAAACTATGTCATCAGCATATTCTAAGTCAACAAGTGAACCTCCTGATAGAAGTTCAATTTAGATGAGGAAAGTGTCATCTCTAAAAGTACGTCAATGACAAAGTTGAACAAGAAAGGAGAGAGTGGACAGCACTGACGAACACCACTTGAGGTAATCAATTCTGATGACATTTCGCCATAAGTTCTCACTCTACCAGTTGTGTTCGAGTAGAGAGCCTGTATAAGGTTAATGTACTCCTTTGGTACTCCTTTCAGTGACAAACACTGCCACAGAACCTCACGATCAACAGAGTCGAATGCCGCCTTAAGGTCGAGAAATACTACCATTGTGGGGCGTCTGAATGTGTGTCTGTGTTCTAGAACCTGACGTAGTGTGAATATCTGATCTATACAACCACGTCCAGGTCGAAAACCAGCCTGGTTTTCTCTAATCTGCTCTTCGCGAGCTTTGATTAGGAGTCGAAGTATTATTGAGGCTAATATTTTAGACACTATATTAGTCAAACTGATTCCTCTGTGATTGTCACAAGAGGACTTTTGTCCTTTCTTACAGACTGGCACAATCAGTGATGGAGACCAGCCAGATGGGATTACGTCCAGTTCCCAAATTCTACCTAAGACCTCGGTTAATCTTGTAAGTGAATAACGTCATTAAAAATAAATGTGTAACAATTGTTAGGTCGTCAGAAAAAGTTATAAACATGTACATATATACAACACCTTTTAGTAACCAAACGAGTGAACTTCACGGTTAAAGTAATTTTTTAAAATAACTTATAGGCGTACATCTGTTTAAAAAAAACATACTGACAAACCTTGCAAGCAGCAGACTTAGTTCTGATTTTAAATCTGGACCGAAAAGTTTTGCAAGTGGAACAAGTTGTTGAACAGCAGCAGCCCGAACTAAAGGGACTTCATCTTCACTATCAGCCAAATGGAAAAGTCGGCTGAAATTATGCAATACATAAAAAGTGAAAGTAAAACTTGCAAAATTTAATTTATATACTAAAAACATGTCAATGTTAAGTGAACTCTAATGATTTTGTAAATCCATCACATATCAAATAAAAAGTAAGCAGCATCAAATTGTTAAAATTACTTAGAATCCATGGAATATAAAACTATCCTTTTAAATACAAAACCTTTAGATCATGAAAACAAAGATAGAACAGCAACCAGACACAGAATGGAACTAATGTTTGGTGGTTTCACCCAGTGGATTTCATATTTCCACAACTTGAGTCGGAACAACTAGATATTTAGTGATTTCATATGATGAGTGTTCCATAAAATCAAAAGCACGAAACTGTACTAAGCTATCGGTTCATATTAGTCAAAATAATTATGTACAAGTTTGTGGACAGATCTATAAGTCGATTGTGCAAAACACTGAGATTCAGATGACAGTAAGATGTTGATCTTTATTCAGAAAGCAAGTGTATAAAACACATAGATGTTAAAACGCAGGAGACATTACCATTTGGAAAAAAATCCTGAACCAAAAATCAATACAAAACGAAAATTAAATGACTTACTACTTAAAATCCACTTGATTTCGTGCTGAGACCATTGGATAACAGGCAATGATGAGTTTTGTAACCACTTTTCTTGAAGCACAATAAAGATCCTCTGAAAAATTAGTACAAATATATACTGCTGTTAAGAAACATGCTAACTAACGAGGAACCCCGGATTTCTGAAAAAATATAATAACCCTGGAGAAGTATGCAGTACGTCTACGGCAGAAACTATCATAAGATTACAAACCAATTTTTTAACAGAATATTATACTCTGGTTTAACTCATCTCTTTAATAAATATTTATGTACTTGAACTTGTGTCATTCATTTTTTGAGATGGGTAGCGATGTTATTTGGCTATTTAAATCTCAGTATATACAATAAGTTTCGAGCACGCAAACTTCGTTAAAAATCAAATGCCTGGATCAGTGATTCATTATAAACGAATATCCAATTTGAACTAAACAAGTGTTGTTTAGAATAGGAATTTTTTGAGAAACAACTTGCCTATAATACTCGATGGGAACTTTCTTTAGCCATTTACAAAGGAAAACAGAGCAAAGAATTTATCTGTACATAATCAAACGTTAATAATTTGTTGAAACAAATTTTGACCTGACTAGACTGTTACAAGATGAGACCGTAAACTTATACTAAGTCTGCATTAGTATCAGTTGACAAATCATTCAAAAATAACTGTACAAATGTAAACTGACACTGGAAAACCGAAATTGTCATAAACAACCAAGACCAGTCAATAATTTTGTTTGTACCGGAAAAATTTATTGAGATCCAGATTACAGCTATAGTTAGATCAGTCATATTGCGTGGGAAGTTTCAATCATCCAAACAAGTTTTATAGCTGTGTGATTGCAACAGTCTATTCTACAACTTTTTTTCAAAACCGTGTCAACCTGACTTTCAACTGGGCACTTATTATGCTCATTCATGTTCGAGGAGTACAACAAAATCAAGGTCAAAATGAATGCTTTTATTCATCACTAAGCAATATATCTTTAGGGAAACTGTCCATTAGCTCGAAATCACGACATAAGCTGAAGCAGTTAGACCTGAAACAATGCTACAGGAAAGTTAAGCAGACAACATTTAACTCCTAAAATGAATGATCAATACAGGAGTCGAATAATCAACGTCTTTAACTGTCCAATTTCAAAAGTAAAAGGTTCTCTGAATATTAAAGCAGAAACTCAATGACTTAACATTTCACCTGACCAACGAATATAATATCCACCTCTGCAAAACAGTTGGAAAAAATATGCTGCTAGCTTAAAACACATATATTAGCTGCCAGTAAGATGAACTTGCTAATTTATTAACTCGAATAGGTATGAAACGAATGACAATAGTCTTGTGTTTGTAGTGATTGTTATATAATACAAATTGAATTTCTGTAGATGAACAAGGCAAAATGTAATAAAAGAACTGCTTTGTAATTTACGGAAGTATAGCAAAACGTTTTAAGAACCGGTCAGGCAGACGGTTCTAAATGTTGGCAGAGTATCAGGTGAGAGGGCAACATATAAGAGGCTAGAACTAGATGTGATGCTTCGAAGCCAAATTGACGATACGTTGATTTTCAGTTGAGTTGCATTTATGAAGAATGACGACGTTACGAATAAGGCGTATGAACTCACCTTCAATAATGTGACGGATAATTGGGGTAAACGTGCTATCCACAACATCATTTGGAAGCTTTGGAAGGAGTGCTATTAGAGAATTACAAGCAGCTTCAGATACAACAACTTCCTCGATGGAATATATGATATTTGCCAGGATGGGCTATGAAAAGAGAAATATCACAGATATATTAAAACGATGGTAAAAAATTACTTTGGCACTAAAGAGCGAATTAGTTTACCGGTTTTCAGAAAACCGGAAACCCATTCATCCTAACATAGAATTTGGAATATCCTTTAATACTAATCTTCGTTCAACTACAGTATTTCTCCGACAGGTTGATGTCGGCTCTAGAATATAACTTTAAAGAGGCGAATGCTTCAAGTATAAGTAAAAGAAACTAGGCCCTAACCACCACAAATATGGTATATTTTAAGAACTTAGTTGTTTTATTGAAGATTCGACACGTACACATGCAACTTACCACAATTAAAGATATGTGTTCAGAACCACCAACTAGATCGCCAAAAGAACCCAGCTTTTGAGCTATAACCATGAGAATTTCATCGTCGCCAGCATCAATAGCATTGGAGACAACATCTACAAATAAATGAAAATATTGTCATTCTTAGGACATGATACGATATCTCTCGTAGAGCTTATAAGAGCATAACTCACCTGAGATTGTAGGTATGAGTTTTTCACGTGTATCCACCGGACCCAGACTATTGGCTAGTGTGGGTAAAGTGTGAAATACTCGAAGTTTTTCCTAATGAACTAGTCTTAATTCAATCGAAGTACTTACAGATGTTTCCAAGTTCTCATATTCTGCATCAGAAGCGTTGGAAGGTGCCGTTGAGTTATCAAACCTTAGGGTTTTTAAAGTTTGTAGCACAGCTTCTAAGACCGACATTTGTACATTATTATCGCCACAACGCCTAGACAAAATAGGCGGACTAGTGCCTAGGCCTTGAAGATTGAACAACGTATATGAGGTTAAGCCGAACAACGGTCTACACCTAAGAAGTGCTCAGCCGATTTCATCTCGTTAACCATATAATGCTAATTTCCGTATGGTAATTCTGGAGATTTTGATCCATCCATATAAGCTAATAATTCAAAAATCGACTATCCATGGTCTAACCTTCACAATTGAAAATGAAGATATCTTGTGCAAAAACTGTGTAGCGGAAATAAATCTCAAAATAAATAGTTCTCTATGTCCTCTAAATTGATGCTTACCTAATTGGTTTTACTCAAAACACCCTAGCTGAAGGCGATCGGTCACGCATCTGCACCAGATCAAGAGTGGATACGCCTCCCTTGTAACTCCTACCTGGCTTAGACCAAACGGTTTTCGACGGCTTTCTAAGTACTTCTTTGAGCTCCTTCGTTTCTGAATTCTGATTTGACTGCGTTGGCATACTTAGGTTACAAAGGTGAGACGTATAGAGGCGTTGTCAACTTCCGAATACCTGTGGCTTCTTTAACCATAATCTCAAAAATCGATACGTAGTAGGAATTGCGATGGCTTTTATCAATTATGAAGAGCAGTTAGTTCACGATAGTAAAGCATGAGAAAAAGACCGGTTTTTTAATTTTAAAATGATAACCAGACTGAGTGATGAGTCATATAAGGTTTGTTACGTGAGAGCTCGAAAATATTGTGTCCTAAAATTTGAGGACCTTGAAAGTTTTTCGAATTGTCTGGTTGAGGCTTGTAACGAGGACGTCCATATTAGCACTCATATAGTCATGTTATCTAGATCGAATATGCAATCACTTCAAGTCACAAAGGAAATTATCTTCCACTAGTTTCCTAGTCCTAACTTACAACTTGTTAGGCTTCATTGATCAATAATCTCTGTTGTTCTCTATTTGTCCCCCCATTTCACATTTTTGTTATTGCCTATGAAGTGTTGTTCAAGTTGTCACTTTCCTTACAAGTGCGAAAACATATGAAACACATGTGGTGTCTTATGGACTAGATCAAGAGTTACCTGATCGAACTTTGGTAAGATGGCTGTCGTATGATGAAGTATAGATTTCTGACGTTCCTGGGAAGTCGACCCTCCTATATGGCTCTGTAGACATAGAGTATAAGATGATTAGGAAATACTTTGACATCTTAAGTCATCTAAAGGTGCTGCAAATATCACCGTTACTAAAAACCGTCAGTAACAATCTAGCATTCTCACAGCAGCGAATGCTAGTGGACCTTATGACCGAGTTAACTACATTACAGGCAAAAATCTTCATTCCTCAGGTCAGGCAAACATCGTCATCTCAAAGGTCGGTCATGAAATAACGAACTCGATTCTCAAAGATAGTTGATCATTTATTTAGTCAAAACATCAGTAATACCACGATTTCGCATCTTAAAAGCTATTCTGAATGTAATATCTTTGACGTATGTTTGTACTTATGTTAGTAAAGATCCTTGTGATAATGTTTCTTTGTTTGCTTTTTAACATGCACTGTTTCTACTGCTACTCTGTCTATTCATGTATTCTGTCTTGATCATTCTGTTAGCATGCAATTATTATTTCAGTATACTCGCCGTATTATGATGAACTACTTGATGTCACTTTGTTTTTAAATTACTGTTTCACTCTAAACTGATTTCAAGTTTTGTTTTCTGGTGGCTGCTCTTTTGGGTGACAGCATTATTTATTGGTTTTATTTAATTCAATTTAATGTATTTTTTCCTTGGGGACAGAAATGTTTTCAGCTATCAGCTACAGAGATTTGCCGTTTTGGGTAGATTACCAATTATATGTTTATCGCATATCTCTCACAATTATAATAATAATAATAATAATAATTTATTCTCAAATAACAGTTTGTTACATGAGGCATGCCAGTTTACAGGCAAGATCAAATTGATACAAATGATACAATATACACTGCAATAAATTACATAGCTGGGTTGATAATTTATAAGATATGAATGTCGATGGTTTAAATCAGTACTACAGTTGGCGCGCTTCATGAAAGTCGCGTTGCGAATGTGCGACTGATGGTCAACAGTAGGTCCATTGAAGGTATGGGCTTCTAAAAATCCCAACCTTATTTCCTTCTGGGATATCCAAGGCTTTAAGGATGGTGCAGGATGAAGTCACCAGTTCCATATCTCAAGGGGGCTGAAAGAGGGAGCAAGTAAAAGAAAACACGAGAGGCAGAGTAGCCAATATTCATGAAAGAATGCTTAAGGTATGATTACTCAGTCTAATTTTCCTATATTAAGGTATATGTTAAGAAAGAGCATTTTAATATGTTAAAGAAAATAAGTGTTGACAAGGTGTGAGTGGACATACAACTGACAAATGGGGGCGATTCGGAAAAGAGCTGAGAGTATAAGATTATGTGTGATTATAAAATAAAATATAGTGCTAGAAGCAGTATTGTGATATACATTTGGCTGTCTTCCCTTTAATATCGAAGCTATTAGAGCCTCTTTCGTTTTTTTTTTAAATATTTTCCCCCCAGTTATTGTAGGGTCTTGATTAGGCTTCGTATATTAGCGAATTGTCTAGTTTGCTTGTAATAGGATTTCTAGGTAGGAAGTGAAACCAATTCAACGTTCGTAACACGACTTAAAGAGGTATTTTGCGTGAATAGATCAGCTTCAATGCCATAAGTTCGTGGCATCCCACTAAACCATAAGGAGCCGTAATTAAACAAAATGTTCTGCCCTACAGACATGGGTGGATTGAAGTTATCTCCCCACCTTCATGTTTGCTGGTCAGTAACGCCACCCTCCTATCTAGCAGTTAGCTGCTCAACTTCGTGAGCTTTGACTCGTTATATTCTTATCTCATGTTAACAGGACACTGTCAACGGGACAACGGCACTAGTGCTCCTATTTAATGAGTAATCAATCCATATTCACGTTGTTGTAATCTTTGAATCTCCTATAACCTACCTTAAAAGTTTTGTTGCAATTAGCTGTTGCTCATGTCGAAATAAATACTGTTTAAATACTTTTTTTATCCTTACGCTTGCATTTCATTCGTAAGTGCCATATCTGCTGTGTTTTCGTGCACAATTATCACGTCATCATAAGGAAAGTGACCTGTTATTGTCTCTTTATACCCTCAAACTGAAGTGCGTCACTGAATCCTTAACTGGCATAGGTCTGTTGCAGTTTCAAGAATTTCGGATTTTATACTGGTTGTTGATATTTCTGATCGTTCCGTCTTGCTAGGCTTGATCATCTATGAAAGCATTACAAAAACGTTCAAGAAGAGAAACCAATAAAACTAATTTAAGTGCCCTCTTTTCCCCAGCTGATGTTAGAAGGCTGAATTGTGGTTCAGTAGCAGGTGGAAACATATTATTTTTTATTTTATTTTATTTATTTTAACACATAAATATTGGTACAAGAGAGCGCCAATATATATGCGCCACACAAAACAATGTAACTTCGAAGAGATAAAAAAAAAACTAAGGAGCACAAAAGAAAAAGAGAACGATAACGAAGAGATTGGTGTAATTTAGTGTGGTCGTAACAGTGGAAAGGAAAAGTACAATCAGAAGAAATCTTTCAAGCGAGGGAGACACAACCACTTTTTATGAAGAAAGTAAAAGAAGGTTACAGCAGGATCGCCACTGGCTTCTATTCTGAGCCATATCTGATAACGTCTCTAGCCACTGTGTAGCACTATCTCTCAGACCCCAACCAGGGAGTCGTGAAGGACCAACACAAGCCAGTCCTCTGCAGCTTTCTTTCATACCACGACACCATGTCATGCACTGACCACCTCTCCGCTTTTTCCAACCAGTCCCAGAGTCGGCAAACAATGCACGACGTGGAATTCTCTGGGACGACATTCGTAGAACATGTCCAAGCCACCGAAGTCGGTGTTTCAAGATGGTGACACCAATTGAATTATCATCTCTGTGCCCAAACACACGATGCCGAACCTCTGCATCACACAAACTTCTTCTTTTAAAACTCTCTTCATTTGGCATTCAGAATCCCCTTTTATCTTGGCTCAAATCTTTTTTAGAAGAACGTAGCCAAATCGTTCGCTTTGGATCTTGCTACTCTAAACCTGTAAATGTAACCAGTGGGGTTATACAAGGAAGTGTGGTTGGTCCATTACTCTTTCTCCTTTTTATCAATGATGTATGTTCTCTCTTTCAGTATGGCAAACCTTTCCTTTTTGCTGATGACCTGAAAGTGGTTTATTCATTCTCTTCTCCCATGAAAGAAAGCTATATTTCAGCGGTAATCCAGGAGGAAATAAACAAGTTGTACGAATGGACTATTTCGTGGAATATGCCACTTAATGTTGACAAAAGTGGATTTATTCACATTGGTCGCTGTCTTAACTTAAATCTGACTGTACAGACACATACACTCAAACCTCTCAACACTGTTCGTGACCTGGGTTTAAGATATAGCAACAGTCTGAACTTTTCTGAACACATTATATCTCAAGTATCCAAAGCTAGAAAGCTCATCGGATTGATAATGATAAACTTCAATAATATCGAATCGAGATTGTTACTATACAGAAAATGTATCTTACCCATTCTTGAATATGGTATTTTAGTTTACAGTAATTGTAGACATAATGATCTGATTAGAATTGAAGGTGTTCAAAGAAAGTTCACCAAAGCTGTTCTGGGGTATTCCGATAACAAAGACTATTACCAAAGATGTCAACAACTCAACTTAGAACCTCTTTGGATCAGACGTATCAAATTAAATCTTGTCTTTATCTACCGGCTCATTAACGGTATTTCCTACTCATCGGTATCCACCCCTTCATACCTTATAATATCACCCCACAATCTACGCAATAAGGAGAACATTCTAGCGATTCCAAGAACCCACACAAACTTACGTCAGAATTTTTTCCTTATTCGCTACTCAACCATGTGGAACAGACTGCCAGTGAACCT